ATATGTTGGTGTAGATGTTAAGGTGGAGGAGAACCAAGAGACTGATAAGAAGGCCGAGTGTATTGCCAATATTAAGAAGATACTTGCCGGTGAGCTTGTGGCGTTCCGTGGTGGGGAAAGGAAGGGATTATCTTAGGCGATGCCCAGACGGATCTAAATCTGGAGTTCTTGTATCGTAACTCAGCGACTGATCTGCTTTTGCTGGATGCTATCAAGGCTAATCAACCTGATGAAAGGAACTCGGTAATACACGGGTGTGGTTTTGGCGGAGTGGTGGAGTGTCATAGTATCATGCGGGAGGTCGTGGGTTCGAACCCGGGGAGCGTATTTTCATCAGATAACCCACAACGCTATCGTTCTGTGTCATGCTCTTATGCAATGTGGCACTACCAGCGATACCTTCCTCCGTGCTAATCTTGAATGGCTCGGCAAGGCTGTCTATTGGGCCAAGTTCACTGCTACCGGCAGTCTAGGAGTTATCCATAAGGTGGGTCAGAGGGATTATTATAGTAACTATTAGCCCTTCCCAACAGTAGCTAATGAATGTGCATCGATAATTTCGCTTTAATATAGCATGCTTGTGTATTTTCCTATAATTTAGGGTCACCTTCGCGAATCCAAATCGATCCTGTCGACCTACCTCCCCGCAGCTGGTGGTAGTTCTAGTGGTGCTGCTGCTGGTGGTAGTGGATCACAGAGTCCTAGCCCTTATAGTGAGGGAGGCGGACTCTATGCCTTGGGCCTTATCCATGCTAACCATCACACCCAGGAGATCGTCAGCTATCTCAGGGAGATGCTGCAGCAGGTAGCTCTCAATTGACTAAATCTGCCCACAGCAGTTGCTGTAGTTCTCGGGCAGTGAAGTGCATCAAGTGGGAGCTTGCCTTGGTCTGGGCTTAACTGCTATGGGAAGTGCTGATCCTGTGGTATATGAGGATTTAAAGAACACGCTTTTCCAGGATAGCGCTGTCTCTGGTAAGATATCTACCTTGCTCTTGTCTTGTATCGGTTGTATGTCGTCATCAGGCGAGGCTGCTGGATATGGTATGGGTTTGGTTATGACTGGTTCAGGGGATGAGACAGCTATTAATGATCTATTGAGCTATGCTAAGGATACCAGCCATGAGAAGGTACTAAGTCGGTCGGAGGGAGCTGTAATGTTATCCTGCACCCATCATTCCCGGCAGCCGCTTCATGTGCTACTATGCGATAATACTTCATTTATCTTCTCGTGCTCCCCAACCCCCCAAGTAGGTATTTACACCACCTTTTGTCAGATTATTCGTGCCTGTGGTATGGCACTTGCCTTGATCCAATTCCGTCGAGAGCAAGAGGCTGAGCCTATAATCGAACAGATGGCCAATGATCAGGATGCTATACTTCGTTACGGCGCTATGTTTATGACTGGATTGGCGTAGGACTAATGCCCAAGACTTGCGCATGCGTGCAAATTGATTTTTCAGTTACTGCGGCACATCTCGATCATCAGCCATTCGTCGACTACTTCATTTCTCGGTTTCTGATGTATCGGATGATGTCCGTCGAGCAGCAGTGATATCCCTTGGCTTTGTGCTCTGTAACAGTCCTCAAAGGCTGCCCGCAGTTCTACGTCTACTTAGTGAGAGCTATAACCCTCATGTTAGGTAATAAGCATGTGGAGCACTGTTATTAATGTAACCTATTCTTCCTAGATACGCAGTGTGTTTAGCAATTGGCTTTGCCTGTGCTGGTCAAGCAGATTCCAATCCTGATGCTGTTAAACTGGTAACAGATACCTGTTATATAGGCACTTTGTATGTTGTTCTCAGTTGGAGCCTCTCCTGAAGGACCGTACAGATTTCGTGCGTCAAGGTGCTGTGATTGGCATGGGCTTCCTTTGTATGCAAACTAGTGCTGCCCAAGCCAATGGTGTGGCAACTAAGTTCAGAGCTGAGTTGATGAAGATAGCCACAGACAGACACCAGGACGTCTCTGTTCGGTAACTACTGCTATACGCCCGTTGGCTGCTGTCCAATCGGCTGGTGTTAGGTTTGGCGCTATTGTAGCGTTTGGCATTATGGACTGTGGTGGCCGTAATGAGACTGCATCCTTCTTCAGCAAGGCTGGCACTTTAAGAATGGGCGCAGCTGTTGGCTTTGTATTGTTCGCTCAGATGTGGTATGTATCGGCGCCTCACTTGTATAACGTTGTAATGATGTCATCAGGTATTGGTATCCATTAATTCTCTGTCTGAGTCTAAGCTTCTCTCCAACGGCTTTAATAGGCCTGAATGAGGATATGAAGATGCCTAAGATGTTCGCAGTTCAAAGTCTGGCCAAGCCTTCTCAATTTGCATATTCCCCGCCAACTCAGCCTATGGTAGTGCGACCAGGCAGGTCGATAGGCTCTCTGAGTTGTTGATGTTAGGCAAAGGCTGACACTAAGAAGTCTACTACCTCGGTTAAGCTCTCAACTACCAATAAAGCTGGCAAGAAGTCGGGCACTGTGGTGACATCTAAGCAAGCTAAACCGAAACAGGTTAGAATCCTTACCGTAGTTTATAGTGTGTTGACTCCATTCGACTTAGACCCCGGCTAAAACACCAGCGGACGCCGCCAGTGTTACTGCTACGGCAGGAGGTAGTGTAGATCAGGTAATTGAAGCTGCAATTGGAATGCAATGTTGCACGCGCTTCTGGTCAGGCTTCTGAAGGATCTGGACCGACCCCGATGGATGTGGATAAGAAGCCCGAGGAGGAGGAGGCTACTACTAGAAAGACTACTACTCCTGAGCCTACCGAACAAACTCTGTATGGCAGAGGCAGAAGTTTCGACTGTATTGGCAATCATCAGATACAATCCATCACGAGTGGTACCAGCTCAAGAATCGAGTATTAGGTTCTATCAGGCTGGTGAGATGATGCCACCTCGTGGAGCTAGAAAGGAGCAACAAAAGGTAAGCGAAGGGTGAACGGTTTATAAAGATGCGTTGCTTTTTAGGTTCGGTACTTGCCTGTGCTATCTGATGGGTCTAGGCGGTCTGGCTTCCTCATGCTCGATGATCTATTCCCCGAGGAGCCTGAGGAGGTACCGCCCTGCCGTTGTAGTGATACTGTGAGAGATTTGCGCTGGGTTCAGATTCTCACTTTTGCTGATCAAACTGGTGAAGATAAGAAGTCTGAAGAGGGCGGCCGCGGTGCTAAGACTACGAAGGAGGAGAAGACCTCAACTGAGACTGAAAGTAAGCAGCTGGTTTATGTGTCGAGGTGGTTCTATTACTCCATAACTTGATAGGTGCAGAGGCAAAGCAGGATAAGAAACCCGATGATGCTGATTCTGGATCAAAGCCTTCTTCTGGTAGGTGGCGATAGCGATAGCTTCTTTATGGCAATCATCTGATGTGTTATTTCCAGGTGAGGCCAAGCCACCAGCGAGCTTCGATCTTCCCGATACTTTCTAATGCTGGGAAGGGTGCAAACCATCAGTGAGATGACGACTATCAGTGTTGTGACTTGAATATACTCTGACAAGTAGACCACTACTGTTTCCAAATATACTTATTCTTGAGTAACCCAGTCTGTGATGGGACAACATCGGTTAGTGGCAATTGATGAGCGAACCAAGAGGCGGTACGAAACTAGTGAACTGTTTGAAGTCAGCCACAAAAGGGTGCCACATATGCCTGTGGTAAGCTATCGAAAACCAATCGTCACGTGAGCTGATTCAGCGGACGATAGGTACCCCGGGGATGAGGCACCTTCGATTGGGGCTGACTGGATAACTGATTACGACGATGTCGACGAAAACGAGCGAAGTGGCCCAGATCTTGCGATTGATCCCGAAGACTACCTCTTCACGGTGTAAGTGCGACAGACTGATTCTTGGGCGATCTGGCTCGAGCGTGAGTCTACGATCGTAGTAGTGAAATATGTGTCTCGAGCTGTTATTTTTCAGACGGAATATCACCACCGCGCCACGAACGTATTATGTGTCGGTGCAGCAAGCTGTTATCTCAACGGAAGAGGGAGATGTTTTAGAAACAGGAGGAAATAGAGATGATGACGGTGTTTGCACTGAAACTACAACGGTAGCCGTTCCGAGTTGATTTCGTTGGTATGGATAACTATCTCGTAAGTGTCTAGGTCATCCTGCTTATCCCTCCGATGAGATTGGTAGATGTAGGGTATATATCATGCGATGATATTAAAGGTGAGTCGTTGGGAGCGTTGAGAGGTCGCTTAGTGAAACTCTAACCGTTCGCACAGCCTTTGAAAGCTGGTTAGAATACTAAGCTGGATAAAACCTAATTTTCTTATTCCGTCCTGAGGCGAGGTGAACGGGTGATTTTCCGGCACCTGCTACGTAGCCATTGGGAAATTGTTCTCGACCACTTAGCCCAATTAGTTGACTCTAAGTCGCACTTCAAGCGCTTGAACCCTTGGATTGGAAGTCTAACGCTCTACCCGATTGGGCCACCAGACTCTGGTGACCAGAGCTATACGGTATTTGTTCAATTTGGGCACCTTTGGGAAAACATGGACCAAATCCAACTATTCCACACCATCGTGTTAGATTTGCTTACTCTGGGCGGGACTTGAACCCGCAACCTTTGGATTAGAAGTCCAACGCTCTATCCGATTGAGCCACCAGAGCTATATACAGCAAATTTTGGTACCTTCTGCATGCGGAGCAGGCATGATACCACTGCACCACACGCCCGATGGTGCTTCAGGGTGTTCTTGATACGCTCATGTTTTGTATTAGAAGTCCACCGCTCCATCCGATCGAGCCATCAAAGCTATATCCATTTGATTTTGGAACCTTGCGGAAAATATGGACCAAATCCAACTATTGCACACCATCGTGTTAGATTTGCTTACTCTGGGCGGGACTTGAACCCGCAACCTTTGGATTAGAAGTCCAACGCTCTATCCGATTGAGCCACCAGAGCTATATACATCAAGTTTTGGTACCTTCTGCATGCGGAGCAGGCATGATACCACTACACCACACGCCCGATGGTGCTTCGGGGTGTTCTTGATACGCTCATGTTTTGTATTAGAAGTCAAACGCTCTATCCGATTGAGCCACCAAAGCTACATCCATTTAATTTTGGAACCTTGCGGAAAATATGGACCAAATCCAACTATTCCACACCATCGTGTTAGATTTGCTTACTCTGGGCGGGACTTGAACCCGCAACCTTTGGATTAGAAGTCCAACGCTCTATCCGATTGAGCCACCAGAG